CACAACCGACGGTTTTGGTTGTGTGTACGTCTGTCAGCAAAGTCAAGGCCATTCTGACGCGCAAGTTGGGCGAGCTTTTCGAGGGCAAGTCTGGGTTCGGGTTGAAGGTTTGCAAGGGACAGGTCTTGAGGTCACGAAAGCAAGCCGGCGACCCCAAACGAAGCGCAGCACAAGAAGAAGACGATGATGACGGCGCAGTCAAGGCAGCCAACCCTGATTTTCAAGCGCGCCCAAGCAATGGCGCAAGTATCGGAGCTTGGGTGGGGGACCGCCACCTGCCGCCCGTTAGCTTGGGCGGCCTTGTCCTAGTCGACGACAAGCCGTATGGGATGACGGTCCACCACATGCTCGACGATCCTGAGGAGATCTACAAGCACACGAAAGCTCAGGATCCGACTATGCGTAGTATGGCGAGAGATGCTGAAGACGTTCGTTTCGACTGGTACGCAGAGTCGTCGGCAGAAAGCAGCGGTGGTGAAGACTATGCCTGCGAGTTTTCGGAATCAGAGGAGTCCGAAGCGTATTCGGAGACGGATGTTACTAGCGATGCGTCAGATGAGGAGGACAGTGGTGACGAGTCGGAAGGCGAATATGACCAGCCCGGCGATATTCCTGGTGTTGAGCCGGGCTGTGGCGACGGATACATCATCACGCAGCCCGCCATGGACGACGTCGACGAGGAGTTTTATGCTTCAGCCGAGACAGCAAATGAAGATCATTTGGACAGCTTTACCGTTGGCGAGGTTTACGCATCGAGCGGCATCAAAAGGAGGGAGCAGAACGGACTCATCCACGAAATCGACTGGGCCCTTTTCGAATTCGCCGAGGAGAGACTGCCCGAGGACAACTCGATACCCAGAATCCAGAGCAAGCAGCTGTCGCCTTCATACGGGAAATTCCCATCAAAGCAAGGCAAAGTTATGCACCCGATGACCGTTGCACCCACCACAGCGCTGCCTGGCCTGGAGGTGCAGTGCATGGCGCGTACCAGCGGCCTGCAAACGGGTCTCATTCTGCCGGCTCTAACGAGCGTCAAGATCTTTGGGCGGACGACACCCAGCCACACGTACCAGGTCAGCAGTGCCGCCACCGAGACACCTGCCGAATTGACTGGCGGCGGCAAAAAGCAACCCATGGGTATTCCCGGAGACAGCGGCGCTTGGGTTGTAGAGCGCGCCCACGGGCGGGTTTGCGGGCATGTCTTGGCGTGGAGTGGGCGGAAGCGCGTTGCGTATATTTGTCCGATGGATGTCTTGCTTCTGGATATTGCGGAGGCTCTTGAGGCACGCGAGGTCGGTTTACCCGGCGGCGAGCCAGTTGTGAGTCTGAAAGGACGTGACGAGGAGGATGAGGAAGAAGATGGGGGCACTTATAGAGACGACGAGCCTTCATCGTCGCCTTTTCTAGACCCCAAGGATGACGATGATTTGGATGTTGTTTCTGAAGAGGGGGACGATGACGAGCTGCCTGTTCTTGTCCGCTCCCGCGCTCCTCCGCGAGGACGCGGTACGAGGAAGGAAGAAGGTCAACAACGTCAGGACCAAGACCAGAAGCAGGAGGAACCGGGCCATGAGCAGGAGAAGAAAAAGCAGGACGGCACGTCGCAGGAGCGGGAAAAGTTTTCATCGGGCGAGAATCATGATTTATCACGCAGGATGGAGTCTATGGGCATTGGTAGGAGTCGCATGGGCGTCGGCATGTGTAGCTGACTGGCTGAGGGCCTCGGGGTGCGTCCCGCGCCCTGTATTCGGAATACCCCATTTGGATTTTTTTGAGTAATTTAGATTATGTAGCATTAATGAAGCATGAAGCGAAGTCATTACAACATTGGTCTTTTTGTCTTTTTGTGTTTGGCATTAATGTGAGCAGGCAGGACGATTAGTCTGGTCTTAGCGGTGGAATCTTATTGAGAATGGGAGAGGCAGACAATGAGGCTGAATAGCATTAACGATGGAAGAAAAGCTTCCCGCTGTAGGAGGAAAATGCAAGACGGACAGATAGAGAGAAGACTACATGAAGTCGTCTTCCCAGTTCTCGTCGCGGTTCTGGTTGCTCGTGGCCTCCATGTTCTCTTCCGTAAAGATGTCATCATATGCGTGATCCTTTTGCCACTTCTTCTCCTTGCGCTCCTGCATAACGCGGGCCTCTTCTCGTTTCTAAAATCCGTTAGCATCCATCCCTCGAGACTTATATCTTTGTGTAAGAGAGTAAGATGGAGAACTCACCCTCTCAAGAGTAGAAGCCTGGTCCCTCTTCCTCAACTCCTTCAACCGATCATCCCTCTCCTGCTGCAAATCAGGCTTCTTCTCGACCTTGGTCTTGTTGAGCCTGTTCACGATGGGGTTCTCGCGCTGCGCGACGAGCACCTTTTTTACTTTACGCGGGTCCTTGAAGGAGACTTGGCCGACGGCCATGCTGCCGTCCTTTTTGAGGTTAGACCAGGGGGTGTAGATGATTGTGATGTTATCCTTTTTGTTGCCCTCGATGGAGTTTGCTTTTGTGAGCTGGGCGAGGTCGGTGAGGAGGGGTTCGGGGATGGCGTCCCATGTCATCGGGGTGGTTGTGGATGGGTCCTTTGGGTCTGGGAGGCGGAGGTAGATGTGGGCTGAGGAGAGCTTGTCTACGTGGAACTTTTCGGTGTGTTAGTGAGGGATGTTGAGTGAGGTGAGTGATAAGAGTTGTGAGATGAGATTTTGCGTACCCTGTGAGAGGTTAATGAGTGATGAGTTTGGGGGTGGGTGAGTGGACTTACCAGACGTCTTCCTCCCAGCCGTACTTGATCAACTCCTCATCTATTTCCCTCCGTTAGTACTCCTCCATTTATTTCATTTCCATTTCTCAAAAAGGTGCAGGCTGAAGCGACCCCCGTCTCATCTTCACACAACCGGGAGCAAACGCACTCTCAAACTTGTCCTTGCCGACGTAAATGAAAGCGGCCGGGTCGACCGCCTTGGAGGTGAAGTAGTAGACCATTGCGCCGAAACTCCCTTCCAGTCGGTTGACTCCCGTGAGGTCTTCAGTCGATGGTATTAAGGAAGTGAGGTTTGGGCGGTGACTAACCCTCTCGACCTCGTTTGCGCGATGAGATAGTTGGCGGGGTTGTGATTTGCGACGCTGGAAAGGAGAGAATTTCGAGGTGGGGGTGGGTCCGGTTTGAGGTACTTACTTTCTAGCAGACAAGCACCTTTTTATGCGCGGTCCGTTGGCCAGAAGGCGCGACGTTTGTTAGTGTCGCGGTCAGTGGAGGAAACAACGACCATGTGAACTCAACTCGGGCAGTCAGTCAAAGGGACAAAGTGAGGTTCCGCCAGAGCTGCTACTGGTGCTGCTGCTGCTGCTGCCTGTTCGTCAATTCCCCTAAAACTACTTTGAAATACATTTGTTTTTTATTTCAACAACCAAAACAATACCGTCTTCAGAGTTCTTGCTGCTATTTGTTCCCAACTTTGCGTCTATTCAGGTCCTTTCGCCCACCGTTGGAGTGTGTTTGCAGCGATCTGCGCTCAAGCACCCGCGCCGTCAGCAGATCCTTTGTCGCGCCACGCCGTGCCACCAAGGCAAGCAAGTTCAAACTCTAGTCAAAGTTTCTTTCCGTGGCACCTCTCAGCCTCGTTTTATCGTTTTGCAGTAATTATTTGCTATTTTCTCATCCACCGTCAACTTCGAAGTTGCCTTTCCACACCACAACAACGATCACATCCACGTCCCCGACCTCGCTACATATTCCTTACCAGCAGATCCGAGTAGCAAGCCTTGTTGGCTAAGTGGTATAGCGTCTCACTAGTACCTAGTGACATGAGAAGATCGGCGGTTCGATTCCGCCACGAGGCATTGATAGAGTAGCACCAACGGGTGTGAAATCTTTTGCATTTTGTTCATGGTCCATGAGGATCTGAGTTTGGTGGACGTGATGCTTGTCTGTCAATTGAATTTGTTTTGTTCTATTAGGAAAGACGGAAGGATACCGAGTTGCCTGCCAGATCAACTCATATTAGCTACGCGCGACGGTTTATTCGCCCGCCTTTGTCAATGCATTCATCTCTTCGGTCTTGTTCACCATTGCCTCTTCATTCATGCGATCCAGTCCGGGCAGCGTTGTTTCCCCATCTCGTTTACCACAGCGCTCCCGTGTGGAGCTCACATTGTGGTCTCGTAAATGCTAACGCATACAGTCTGAGCGTTCGGAATAGAGGCGGACGGTTTGCTTTTGATACCGAGGACTGGCTGTTCTGCTAGAGAAGAGTTACCCTGATACAAGGTTTCTAGAAAGGCAGTATGTGTATTGATGAGATTGGCGGGTGCAGCTTGATTTTCGGGACGCTAGGATGTCCCCGTATCAGTGGGCCAACTATGCATCCGGTTGCCTGCTGTTCATCCGTGGTCTCAGTCCGGATCCGATTATTTCGGAATCATGGACGGGTCACAGTTGTAAGGGCGAGAGTTAGAAATGGCAAATCCAAGTATGGTAAGGCTGAATTGAACAGGAATAATAGTTTCACCGTAAAATAAGGTGCAGCAGTCTTACTACGAAGTTCGTTCGGCGGGAAACCATTGACCAGTCAGAATCTCTTTCTATCCACACGGCGAGAAAGGTGCCTAGTCATGCCAGAGAAGCGCGGAAATGGGTGACGGCGATGAGTGTGTGACGTTTGAACCTGCTCTACGAAAAGCAGAGTCTTTCGCTTCTCCCGTACTTCATACACGCACCAGAAAGTCCGTCATGCTAGTGGGTGACTTGAGCCTATTGTGAAGAGGACGATGTCGATAAAGTAAGTCTCTCAGTCAATTCACCGGGCTGCTCTGTGTATGCCACATCACTCCTCCCCTAGCTGGAAGCTTCAACCCAGCAATTGATGTTTGTGGAAACCAAGAACTCTCATCAAAAATCATGACTGGGCGATGATCTCACTTGTACCACAAAACGGTCGAATGAAGAGCATCTTTTTACCAATATCACAGATGAGCCCATCCGCATCACCCAATCATCTCGAAGGAACCTGATGCAGCAGTGGCTCGGTGAGAGAGAAGCTTGGGCCATCGAGGGGCATTGGAGGGGCACGGCGGTACGTATCTTGGACAGGTTGGCGTGGTTCCGCTTATTGGCCGACTATGCGTCATGTCATTGGCTGTGGGGCTGGAGCTTCTGCTCCTTTCTCCACCCTCCGGACCACAGCTCCGGAGTACACGGCAGGCAAGCGGGCAGGTAGCCAGGGGCTCGCGGCTTCTTTGGGACACGGCAATGTCGACTCTGACATCAACATGGCGAAATATCTACACTTCCTCCCAACTCTTCGCGGCACACCTGGCAGACGATCTACTGTAGTGCTGGTAGGCCAGCCTGACTCTGGAGAATGTCCCGCCAATGGGACAAGCAGTTGGACGTCTGAATGGTACGCAATTTGAAGGGGCAGTAGTCGTTGGCGACTGACTGGTAGCACAAGATTGACGTCAGACAGGCCCGAGTAGATGGGACTCCATCAGGAAACAGACCTGGACGAACGGGAACCTCGATTGGTGAGGCTTGCTTTATATAGGGCGGGTTTCGTTCTGGGGTTTGCTCGCCCCCCTAAATTCTGATCTCTTTCCCGCCTCTCTCTCAACGGATACACATGCCGTCTTTCTTCTCTCCTTGAACCATGTCCAGCATCGTACCCGATACCCTCAAGAAAGCTGGCAACGTAATCATGGGCCAAGGAAACAAGAAGAACGCTCAGCTCGCTGAGAACATGGTCGAGGTCAACCCCAAGGCTCCCATGACCACCGACTTTGGCACAAAGATTGAGAACACGGATGACTGGCTGAGGGTCTCCAACAATGACAAGACCGGACCCATGCTCTTGGAGGATGCTATTGCGAGAGAAAAGGTTCGTCTTGACCTCCTGCTTGTAACCGCAATCTGTCATTAACACCCGCACAGATCCACCGCTTCGACCACGAGAGGATTCCCGAGCGAGTAGTCCACGCCAGAGGAGCTGGTGCTTTTGGAACCTTTAGACTATTTGAAAGCGCCGCAGACGTGTCAAATGCCGGCGTCTTGACCGATACATCCCGCGAGACCCCCGTCTTCCTCCGCTTCTCCACTGTCCTCGGTAGCAGAGGCAGTGCCGACACTGTCCGCGATGTCCGCGGCTTTGCTGTGAAGTTCTACACCGAGGAGGGTAACTGGGACATGGTTGGAAACAACATTCCCGTCTTCTTCATCCAGGACGCTATGAAGTTCCCCGACGTCATCCACGCTGGCAAGCCTGAGCCTCAACTCGAGTTCCCCCAGGCTCAGTCTGCCCACGACAACTTCTGGGATTTCCAGTACCTTCACACCGAGGCCACACACATGTTTTGCTGGGCCATGTCTGACCGCACCATTCCTCGCTCATATAGAATGATGCAAGGCTTTGGTGTCAACACCTACACGCTCACCAACGACAATGGCGAACGGCACTTTGTCAAGTTCCACTTCACCCCCGAGCTTGGCGTCCACTCACTCGTATGGGATGAGGCACTAAAGCTGGCCGGTCAAGATCCCGATTTCCACCGCAAGGATCTCGCCGAGGCCATCGAGAATGGCGCTTTCCCTAAGTGGAAGTTCGGTATCCAGGTTCTACCCGAGTCCAAAGAGCACGACTTTGACTTTGACATTCTCGACGCCACAAAGGTCTGGCCTGAGGAGCAGATCCCCATTCGCTACATCGGCGAGCTGGAACTGAACAGGAATCCCGACGAGTACTTTACCCAGACCGAGCAGGTCGCGTTCTGCACCAGCCATGTCGTCCCCGGCATCGGATTCTCAGACGACCCTCTCCTCCAGGGCCGCAACTTTTCTTACTTTGATACCCAAATCACCCGCCTCGGCATCAACTGGCAGGAACTGCCCATCAATAAGCCGGTATGTCCAGTCATGAACTTCAACCGTGACGGCGCACACCGTCAAACCATTACAAAGGGCAACGTCAACTATTGGCCCAACCGTCATGAGGCCGTTCCTCCGGCAAACCACTCCAAGGTTTCCGGCGCCTACGTTGACTTTGCCCAAAAGGTGGAGGGCATGAAGCAGCGCAGCAAGAGCGCCAAGTTCAAGGACCACTTTAGCCAAGCCCAGCTCTTCTTCAACAGTCTGTCGCCAATCGAAAAGACGCACGCCGTCAACGCATTCGCGTTTGAGCTAGACCACTGCGAGGACCCCATTGTGTACGAACGCATGGCCCAGCGTCTTGCCGACATCGACCTGGGCTTGGCTCAGGCTGTTGCCGAGATGGTCGGCGCGACATCGCCCGAGAAGGCGAGCACACCCAACCACGGCAAGAAGGCCAAGGGTCTCAGCCAGCTGGAATTTGAGCCCGAGACACCCACCATCAAGTCGCGCCGCATCGCAATAATCATCGCCGACGGCTTCGATCCTGTCGCGTTTGGTGCCATCAAGGGTGCTGCCGCGGCAGCTCAGGCTACGCCGATGATCATTGGCACCCGTCGCTCCGAGATCTTCCCTGCCGGCACATCCAAGACGGCTGGAAACGGTGTCGTTCCTCATCACCACCTTGAAGGCTTCCGATCGACCATGGTCGATGCCATCTTCGTGCCCGGTGGTGCAGATTCCATCAAGACTCTTTCCAAGAACGGCAGGGCTGTCCACTGGGTTCGCGAGGCCTTTGGTCACTTAAAGGCCATCGCTGCCACTGGCGAGGCCGTTGACTTCATCCAGACTGCCATCTCGCTTCCCGAGGTTTCCTTGTCTAGTGACAGTAATGTTGCAGAAAGCTACGGCGTTGTCACGATGAAGTCGGTCCAACCTGAGAGCCTGAGGGAGACTGTCGAAATCGTCAAGAATAGCAAGGGGTTCTTGGAGCAATTCTTTTACACCATTGCTCAACACCGCGTGTGGGCGCGTGAGCTCGATGGGCTCAGCACTCAGCTGGCGTACTGATCCGATAACTGACGATACGAACGGGAAATGGCGCTACATATAATGATTGTCGTATAATGAACAACTGATGATGACTTTCATCTTGCAAGCCCCTGTGGTTTCGTGATCTGACTTGAGTCTACGAGCCGGAGTAGTCGAGAAGGCTATATCGCTTTGATGAAAGATGTGTTATTGTGGAGGCCAACGCCATCGTCATATACATCAAACAAGGCTCAGTATAACCTCACCAATGTTCTTAGGTAACAGGCTGTATTAACGTATATTCCTTTCTACTCAATACTTCTACCACGACGCCAGCCAGCTTAGGTGCTAGCAGCAGCCGTTGTCGTCACCGGAGCCGTAGTCGTAGCGGCAGCCGTCGTCGCCGCGACCGTTGTTCCACTCGCCGACGAGCTCCCGCTTCCCGATGAGCCACCTTTAACCACAGTCGCCCTCACAACCTGACCAAGCGTATTGAAGACGATATTCACCAACGAACTAAGCGGCTCGTACGAGTACGTCTTTTGCGTCAGCCCGTTACCGAGATCCTGCTGGGAGCCCGTAAAGGTCATGTTCTGCTGGTAGTTGCCGATGATGGAGCTCAGGGCGGAGGCACCCGCGTTGGTGACCTCTTGCACAATATTTCCCAAGTTGTCAATCAAGAAGTTAATCTTGGAGTCGCCGTTGACGATGGAACCCAGAAGGCCGTCCACAGCACCAATGACGTCGTCGACGACATCGCCGACGGTGTCGAGGAGATTGATGAGCAGAGGGTTCAGATCCAGCGAGGCGAGCGTGCGGTTGACAATGTCGACGAGGTTGCCGAGGCGGATGACGAGCTCGAGCTCGGCCTCGACGTCGACGATGGTGATGTTTACCTTTTCGATGCCGACTTGTACGCCCGCGTTGATGGTGACGAGCTTGGCGACCTCGGCGGCGAGGTTCACTTCGGCGGAGAGGTTGTCGACGTCGAGCTCGATGCGGCCGACGGAGAGCTCGGGGACTTTGAGGTAGACGTCTGCTGGCGGGGTTGTGGTGCTGCTTCCTGCGGCGGTGGTCGTGCCGCTGCCGCTGCCGCTGCCGCCGCCGGCGTTGCCTCCGGAGTTTGCGGCTGTGGACGTTGGGGTCGTTGGTGTTCCTGAAGCCTCTGGCGTTCCGGAGGGTTGTTCTGCTGCGACGGAGGTGGTTGCTTCTGTGGTGTCTGTCGCGGTGGGAGTTTGTGTCGCGACGAGGGCGACGAAGAGCGCCAGCAGGAGGGAGATGATGGAGGTCCTCATTTCGGATGATTATAAAGGTGATGGGCTTTTGCAAAGGAGTGTGTTGGGTTGGATTGGTTTGTGTCAAAGGAGTGGACGAGGAGCACCAGGTGAGCGAGACTGGGAACGCTGGTGAGCTGTGGGAGGGGACGAGGCCGCGATGGGAGGGCTTGCTGGGGGGATATATGGCGGCATCGTGGAAGGAGGAGATGGAGGTTGACAATTTACCTCGTCCTGTCCCAGCATCAGACCTCCCCCTCCCCTTCCATCCCTGTTCTACGCGGAGTCTACATGACTACATGTAGGTACGTAGGTAGAGTGTCATGGGTTGAGGCCCATCATCCATGTCACTAAGACGCACATGGGATGGAGCGTCCGCCCTGGTGTAATGGGGCCGTTGGTCTCCATATCTAGGGCGGATATGGGCAGCGGTCCCGAAGAGGCGGTGCCCACACCTCCTTTTGTCCCATGGAGTTCCATTGCCCGGCAGTCGAACATCTCGATGCTTATAGGGGGGAAAGAGAAGTGCTGATTTGTGAGACAAGGTGACAAGCTGCAAGCCACCGGGCCGAAGGGCTGCATGTGGACGGGCATGTTCAGAAAAACCTTGGAATATTCCATGTCTGTGTGGCTCCCCCGGGTTCAGATGGACCATGGATCGATGGGAACATTTGGGAGATTGCCCTCTTGTCCCATTTGGTGATTTGACCTCTCGGCTCATACCCCATCCTATCATGCCTTGAGCCTACGAGCGTTGGCGATGTTGCATCGTGCGCGAAATAAAAGCGACAGCACTGCGTCACTTGACTGGGGGAGATGGCAGACCAGTCGGGGGATTCGCTGGGCGACGGGGGCGCCGCGTGCGGAGGAGACTTTTGAGAACATGACCTGGCCCTGTTGAATGTGGATAGGAGAAAGAAACTCACCTTGCCAGCTGTCTCCTAGGATCTGGTGTTGAAAGGGGAGGGGTTATTGAGTTAATGTCTGCTCTTGATGCAGTGACAATCCCGAAGCCTGGCTCGTCATCGGATCTGGCACTCGCTGGATCCCCTCCCCCCTCCTCCACTTCCCTTCTCCTCATTAGATACTAGACAATACTTGTATCGTTTGCTTCCCCGGCATCGTTGGATTTGCAGCCCTTTGCTCTCGTCCGCGGCCCCTTCACTCCCTTCGTCTTTCCATCTCCAAATCGGCCTGCAGCGCCACTACAGTCACTCCTTTGCAAACCAAGACAAGAAAGCCTCTTACACTCTCTTTTCGCCATGATCTTCTTCATCACCAGGGCTCTCACCCTCCTCACCCTCTCGACCCTGACCCTCGCTCAAGATGAGCCAAAGGGTGACGGCTATGTAGGCTACGAGCTCAACCGCCGCGGCGACAACGAATCAGCTGTCTACGAGACAGCCAACACAAAGACCGGTATCGACACGCTCAACCCGATCCCGGACGTGTACCTCAACGCGTCCGTATCAGTGGGCGAGATCAGCATTGAGGTGCAAAACATCACCGCCAAAGTGAACCTCGACGCCAAGGTCCTGAACCTGCTGCACTTCCAGGCCGGCGTGGACGCCAGCATCGACCGCGTCAAGCTGGGCATCTACAACGTCTCGGCCAAGGTCGAGCTCGAGGCGCGGCTGGAGAACGTGGTCAAGATGGTGGACGATGTGCTCACCAGCATCGACCTGAACCCCATCATCGCAACACTGGGCGACACCGTCAGCGACATCGTCAACAAGACCGTCGACGTCGTCACGGATCCCGTCGAGAGCAGCGCCGCCGCGTCCGCAGTAGCGAAGCGCGACCTCACGTTCCGGCTGGAGCACAATATCCTCTACTCGGTCAACGACTTCTCGGGCCGCACGCACACGAACCGCGTGCTGGCGCAGAACGGGAGCCTGTTTGACGTCTACCTCGACAACAGCGGCAACGAGAGCGGGCGCAAGGTGGTTGGGTTCTACAGCCGCGACATGACGTTTAGCGGGCACAACAAGACCATTTCGATTGACGGGCAGGTCAAGGAGTTTGAGCTGCAGTACGTGTATGCGCCATATCCCGGCCTCGAGGCGTTTAGCAACATCTACCTGGATACCACGGGCAAGGTCGTGAGGACCAAGATTGTGGCTGAGGCGGAGGGAGGGGGCACCGCGACGATTAGCAACGATGATGAGAGTATTCTTTAGAGTGCCCCAAATGTAGCGACGCGGGATTTGCGAGGCATTGGGCATAATGGAAATGAGAGTTAGGGACATGCGAGTTACCGATTGCTGTCAATCGAGATTTCGATATTTCCAAATGACTGCCTATGACATGATGGTGAACCAATGCGATTGTGGACGTTGATTTGCCGTCTGAGATGGTGAGGCGTGCCAGTCTGGAAGCAGTCAGACCTCCGACGCCTGGATCGTTCGATTGGGACCGCTCCGGGGAGCCGCTTCTGGGACGGGGGCTCGTGGGACAGGGTGGGATATAAGAGGCGTGATATCGGCCGGGGTGACATTTTGGGAGCTGAAGAGGACGAGAGTTGAAGACGTTAGTATTCTCTCCGACTCTCGAGTCTCTTGACGCCATGAAGAATGGAACGCGGTCAAAGCTGCGAGCGCTACAAATCAGACGGTAAATCAGGCGGTACCGAAGGTGTATTGTGTAGTCGCCGGCGATAAAGGGGAATGACGTTGTGACGTCGTTACGTTTGGATGATATGAACATTGTACTATTAAATCCAGTAATAGCAAAAACAGCCGCTTTCCGTTATGCCCGAGCAACCATCGAGGAACAAATCCTCCGCAGACTGTAACGCTCAGAGTTTTCGGGCTGGGCCTTGTTGGAAAGGGCCGGACGGGAGATCTCGGCCCCCATTTGCCATTCTCTTTTTTTGATGAACCTGGCGGAGAGACGCACGGCGCGCAATGAGACCATGGCTCACCTCTCTTGTGAAGTTGCTTATGAAAGTTATGAAGTTGAATGCGACTCTGTTGGCCACTTTGGTTGCGACTCTTCTCCGCCGTGTTTGCCGGCAAGGCAAAATGTGGAAAGTGTCACTGTCAGAAACGGACTGCAGAGACCGGTACCGCAGCGTCGCACCCGTTGATGGCCTGGACGATTCAACGTGCCGTCGACTGCAACCGCAACGCATTGGTAGGAGCAACATCAAAGCCTCTTTGGATCGACTCATCAAACTCACTAGTACTAGTGGTGTGGCTAGTGCCTTGGTCGCCAACGGCTTTTATGGAAAGCTCGCTAACAAAGTCGCTTCGAGCTGCCGCTTAACTTTGAGCTGTTCTAACTTCCAACGGTTGACGCTAGCATCAGTGTGTGTGTCATTGCTCATCTTTTCTTCTCCTGGAAGATGGTGTGTGTGGCTGGGCCAACAATGCCCCTCGTGCCCCTGAACAGCATGTCGATTTACGTTTAGCCGTACATCAGAGAGCCCACACGCTCCAGTTTACCTAAAATCTCTTTAGCATTCGAGCCACTGCAGGAACCAACTGTCAACGTGCCAACTTTGCCAACAAACCCTTCCTCGCCGTGCTTCTTTGCTTGATCAACGGAGACAGCAGCGGATGAAGGTGAACGGTCCGGCTCTCTTGACTTGATCCGTCAGACCCCCGATGAACGAAGTAACTGCGGATATGGCACCTTACTCATAGACAAACTGGCCCACTGATCAAGCAGATTATAGCTCAGTATCCGCAGACTCCAGGGTGACCCATCCGTCGTCCCCATAGCGGCCTTTCCCCGAACTTTGATCGCGTGGTTCGTGGTCCCGTCTGCCCACGGCAATTGGGCCAAACCCAGATTTACGACGGGAGTCTAGGCCCTCTCTAGGCTCTATCCGCCTAGCGGAACGGCCTTTTCTTGACCTTGTCACGCTTGCCCATTGTTGGCAGATGCAGAAATCAAGGCACAGGAAATTTGGCATGTTTCATCCCTACCATTTTGAGGGGGGGAAAGATGGATCTGAATGAATGCCGTTTTCGTCGGCGTGCGTCTGACCCGGCCGTCGGCAATGCGGCATCCAGGGCGCATCTCATCCTCTTCTCAAGTTGGGTGCGTGTGATGCGTCCTCTGTTATGCGATGCAACCCCGCGACGTGACGAGATGGTAAGAGGGAGAAGAAACTTTGGTACCGGGCAGTTATTATGCTTGATTATCATTAGTTAAAGCTAGCTGCCCCTATCCACGTTGCCTTGGGATGATCTGATGTTGGCAAGAGACGCGATCCTCTGACGCTATGTCACGGCATATCAGCCAGCACATTACAATAAATCCATCCTGGGTTGGACTGCAACATTGCAACGTCCAATGTTTGTTCGCTGCACTGCCCGTTCCCATCATCTCATTTCGAGAGAAGGCTAAAGTGTGGACAACCATACGGATGAAGCCCGGCGATTGAGTTCCCGCTTGGCAACTCTCATCTTTCCCCAATCTGTCGTCATTCAAATGGCATGCTTGCGAATCGCGGTGCCGGAGTGGCACACGTTGATGTGAATGTAACCTCCCATGGCCGATAACGCAGACCTGAGCTGAGGTGCACCATCCGTGCTGATGATGGAGATGATTTTTCTGCCCAACGCCCACGAGTCGTGTGTGCGTTCAATGGAGAGGTAGACCGCCGGTATATTTAGCAAGATTCGAACTAGGTCCTTGATGTGATATCTCCCTCACCTTTGAGTTTGCGATGCCACTATTTGATCCTCCCTGAAGTGGGATTACATGCAAGCTGCAACATTCAGCCATAGCTACGAGAAAGCACCAGAATCACACTGAAGTCAATGTCTCACCATCTCTGGGTTACAAACTAGAAGGCACAGCATTCACTGCATTCACATCAACTTGTTCCGGTGTTGATATCTGTGTTTAGCTTGTCTTGGCAACGACTGGAGGCGTTCACCGCGTTATTTGGTGACTTCCGGCATGTTCCCACGCGCACTTACAGTAAATGATGTAGTTAAATCTTGTAACAGTCTCCATTCAGTCGACTACTACTCTCAAAGAGTTAGGGACAACGTCGCAACTGCTCTGGGTGCCTGGAAGACGACGGACACTGAGTCGACTGTGTCGTACCTTATTCTTGAGAGCTACAATGCATGTCCATCGAAGCCAACGTTGATGCGGGAAACTTATGTATCATTTCGATAGACGGATCACCATCTAAGCGTTTGACTCATCTCACTAAGTTTACAGTGAGACTGGGCCATATCTCATACGACGCAAGAAGCATTTTCACAGTGCAGACGTCCAACGAGATATCTTAATGTACTATCAGTGTGCTAGAAGTCTTGTGACTCGTATGAGCTAGTCTTCAACCTACCAAATCCTGAGTACTCAACAAATGCATCCATGGCAGAGGTGACCACATATCACTTGAAGCATTTACTGCCATCTGCTCGAAACATCTCTCCAAATCACACATGAGCAGCCGCGGATCCCTGTTTGCTCTCGACCCCAATATCCCTTCCAAGACGAGTGCCGGCATACTCAACTCTTCGAAGGCGTCTTTGCATTATTTCCTTCGTGGTTGACTCCGTCTACATTGACTTCGGCAGTGACAGAAGAAGAAGCCTGCTCCGTAATAGGACTCAATGGGAAGTCCGTACCCTGTGTGTCGGACGGTCCCGCAGCCAGTTGGGTCTGAGTTGGACCGACCGAGCTCGACTCTGAACCGCTTCTGGACCAGGGTATGACTTGTTGGGTGTCGTCCCTGGGAGGATGAGTGAAACGCCACCACCACAGAGCCACACAGGAACTGAAAAAGGTCGCAATAGCAGCTGATAGAAACCCGAGTATGATCAGGGGACTCGAGGGGCTTTTCTTATACTCGAACACGAGTAGTACGATGGGGCCGACAATGGCGGCAAGCGAGAACAAGACTAGTATCAATTGTGTAATCTGGCGCAAGTTGACCGAGTTTGCAACATAGTAACGAAACTTGCTCTTGTACTTCCCGAGGAAGTGTCGGAAACGTGTAGTCATATTGACGGAGAATTGAGCCCGTCTTTAAGAGTATGTTGGTATAGAAAAGTTACCCGTAAGGCTCGCTGTGAGATGCTGGGCTGAGGCTACCTTGGGTGAGAACTCTAGATATAGACCTGAAGTGTTCCAGCAAATGTTTCTGTAACTCCCATCCGCGTAGAGTCTCCTATTCGTCACAACAATCTTGCTTTGTTAATTGCTCCTGACTTGTTATGGCGCTTTTGTCGATATCGTTCCAAGACAAGTCTAGTGCTACCGCTTCTTCGACAGTTTATACATCTAGTTTCTAAAGAGGGATGGTCTTTCTGTCACCACAATCTAATTATCATCGTCGACGTTTGATGGTATGTGTCGAGCCCCAATCTGACCATTCCCTCTTGCTCTTTCATTGTTCTAACTGCAAGATTGTCGGAAGCCCTGCCGACGTGCGTCTTGAAGCGGATACATGTGGTCTCAATCACTGGACCATCCATGGCTTTCGCAAAATGCAAACAATGGACATCATGGTTTCAGTCTAAATCTCTGGACTAAGTAGATATTTCATCTGTGGTTCCCGTTGCATTGTACTCGTTCTGCACCTCAGGGCAGTGTGGAAATCGCCCGCAAGTTGCACCTTCAAGTAGACAAACAAACTCACTTTATGAAGTCTTCCCTTGACTTGAATGGACTGACTCGGTGCTCCACGAAACCGTCAAGGCCAAAAACAACGTGCGGGTGGACGTAGCAAATCTGCAGATACCCAAAAAAGACAAAAGAATAAGAACCCGAAGAATGACTTGGTCAATCGCGGTGAGGATTTGAGCCTCACGCGGGGGTCGAACCCGCAACCTTGAGATTAAGAGTCTCACGCTCTACCGATTGAGCTAGCAAGGCGGGTCTTGTTTGATGACTGTTGTGCCAAACTGATAGCCCATAATGGCTGTAGACCCGCCTGTGCTCCCCAGACACCGAGGACCCAGCGATATCTTTGAAGAAGCGAAAGGCGAAAGGGTTGGCACTGTGATGCGGAGTAGTGGAGGGCAAAAGTGTTGAAAATGATTTGAGTGCAACTAGATGAACCTTGTCATACGACGAACGATTTACCCCAATTGGAGAAATGGACTTTTTCGGTGAAGGCTGGCACAGGCCATTACAAAATGCTGTTAATTACAGCTGAGCTCCAACGCGCGATGCAACGTGAATATTGTGAACATGTTTGATATCGATGGAATCATCTATTAGGGCATGTCTTAGTTCGACAAGCGGAGGATGTACAACGAGGTTCGGCAAATGACCACTCTACTCCAATTAACAAGAATTAGCTAAGTCTCTACTACTCGGAATGCAAGATGCATCACAAGATACATCCAACATGAAGGTCATCGTGATGCCTTCCTTCAATCATCATGCTACACCTCAAACGCCCCGCTTAGAATAGGAACATCTCATTTCATACACATGATTCGTCATTGACTCTGGAAACAATCGTTCCCTGTTCACTTTGTCACCGTCGGAGTCCCATCTCCCAGCTCTGCCCTCGGCATCTCCCGCTCCGTGCTATCTAGCTCACTGACCGGGTGCAAATCGCTCCTAAGGGCAGAGTAAGATGGGAGATGCCGCGGGTCTGTAGGATGGCTGCTGAGAGAGCTCACATTGCCGTCCGAGTAGGTCGACATGTGGCGGGGGTCCATACTCATGGGCGAGCTGGGATGCTTCATGGAGTAATATGGTGAGTGCGGTGGAGGTGATGAAGAGGCGTAAGACTCGGGGACGGCTGTCGTCGCGTACGACGCTATAGAATATGTCAGTCTTGATCTGAATCTGAATTGGTGGATGTGGCGAAGACTTACCATGGGCTGGATCATACGGGTTAGGGCTGTGTGGTGCATATCCCATCTCAGGATGTTGGCTCGGGTGAGGGCTCTGGGCGGCGGACGGCTCCCACGCCGGCGGCTCACGTCTTTCGTTGCGCTTTCTGGCGTGCCATCCGCATCTCCAGATGATCGCAACAATAATACCAACAGCCACCGCAGCACCAATCGCGATGCCGACAATGGCCCCCGTTCCCAGACCTCCACCACCACCTCCAGAGGGCGACCCACTCGGAGCCGGCGTTGCTGTAGACGATGCCGATGCCGACGGCGTGGGTGTCACGGACTCATCCGGTAGGAACACTGCCCTCGAGCTGGCATTCGAACTCAGCGTCGCCGATATAAGATTCGTCTGCGGGCATAACCCATCGGGTTCCTGACATGGGTTCGTCGCGCAGCATCCGATAAAGGAGATGTCGTTTGTGCACGTCCAGAAGATCTCGCTCGGCGGTCTGGCATCGTCGCAGCCCTGGGCTGGTATGTTGGCGTAGCGGTCTGGGTTGAAGGCGGATATCCTCCTGTCCTTTGTTGGACACTTTCCGCTGCCATCGGCGCAGGGGTTTGTCGCGCAGCAGCCCAGGAACTCGACCTTGCTCCCTTCACAGATGTAAAAGTCGCCGCCTTTGGGACAGCTCAGGCCTAAGCTGGCTACCGCCATTATGCAAGTTTGGTGGATGTGAAGCTGTATATACCCAAATTCGGAAGCCCGGATTCGCTCTCGAGGTTCACAGCTTTGAGACCAAGCCTGTATGGTATATGAGAAAAAACAGCAGATGAGTTTAAGGAGACTTGAAAGGAGCACATGGTAATGCTACTTAAGACATAGGTATAAGATGTATATAAGCTCATAGGCGTAAGACTTGAGGGAGGGCCCGCTGCCAAAAGGTGTGACCAACGGCTCCGAGCCTGCATCATGCTGATCGCCGACTCGACCGGGCAACATCATTCGACATGTCGGACTAAGACGGGGCTTTCTGCTGAGGTACCTGCAAGCAGCCTTGGAAGCCTCGTCTTTCTTCTGCAGGCAGACAAATATTTGTCTTATTGTTGCAAGGGGAGTATGAGAGGGCGGTGGGAGGATACAGCCAAATTTCGCACTTGCGGGTCTCCACAGCCTCTTTTGGGGGCACAAAGCCAGGAAGCCTGGCTTCGCTTGGCATCTGGAGCTGAGCGACAGCCTCTTCTCTATCACCTGAAGGTTGATGGATGCAGTGTTTTCAAGCAGGCTGTGCTAGTTCTCTACGTATTGGAGTTGATTTGCATATGCTGTGCGTTTCTTTGGAATCTTTTACACAGAACCTTCTTTGGGTGTGTACGACCTCGGAGGCAATAAAATCGAGACACGGAGGGCCTAGGGACCACGATAATCTTGCTGTTGGTGCGTGCTACTTCTGTGCCGCATGATCTCATGAGACAGGTCAGGGACGAACAAGAGAACAATTATGCAAACAATGATCAAACGGGAAGGCCGTTGGTGGCAAGATGAAACTCTTGATGAGTGCATCTGCGGCGAGGTAGTCCTGTTGGTTAGGAAATTAGATGCAGCGTCGATTGGTGCATGTCTTGTTGGAACTTGGTGGTGTTGGTGTTGGTGGTGGTTGGGAGGCTGAGGCTTTGCACTATTTCCTGAAGGATCACCTGCGGAGTTCTTGGTCGCTCAGCTGAGAATGAGAGTGAGATAAGCCCATGTCGGCTTCTCAAAGCAATTCTTCAAAGCTAAAAATACGAAAGTCAGCGACGTAGGTTTGTCATGGTAGCAACCCCGATCGGGTGGGCTGTTGCTGACAGGATGACAGGATTCCACCAAGACACCAATTCCCGAGGATGCGGATTCGGATTCACTACTGTCTGTAGTACTGCATCGGCTCACTGTTGACAGCCTGCGATAGATAAGGAAACCCCATCGAAAAGTTTGAGTGCACTGAGGTGTTGCGATTGACATTATGAGGCAAAGAAGCGAGACTTGAGGTCAATAAACGAGACGAACCCGTAACTACAGCACCGGATTTTTGGGGGCAGAGTCGCATCGCAACCCGGCCATTTGATCGGGAATGAGATGGGTTCGAACACGTAACCGCATACTTTGCCCAACAAGCCCGTTGCCAACTCGTGTCCGCGCTTCTCCGTAGAGTCTAATTTCTCACTCATTGGAAAAGGCTGTACTGCCCCATAAGTGAGATGGCGATATCCGAGAAGAAGGAGGGTCGGGAAGGAAGCAGGATGGAAGGTGGGCTCATGAAGGAGTCTTGCTGACCGCCACGGTCCGGAGCCTCGGTGCTGCGCTGCCTGTGTTGGCTACACCATGATCGTGATCGTGACTGCACGGCTCGCTGGGCGGTGTCAGATTCTCTAAACTCTCTCGCTTTTCGAGCTGGCTTTTGCCACCAGTTATACTTCGATGGCAAAGATGATCGCAGAACGTTTTTTGTAGAGGGGGGCAACGAATGCTTTTCAATGTGTCTCGCAACCCCTTCGATCGCTACCATACTGTCAGACGGATTATTCGCTTGCCATCAGTGTATTAGGAATAGCCCTGGTTGGTTCCTGATCGTCTAGAAGGCTGGAAACACCTTGGATCAGTGGGGAGTGGTAATCAACCCCGCGAAACGAAACTACTGAACACCACGCGGAAACTGTTGCCATATTGTGCAATCAGCCCGAAGATCGTCGTGATGTTATGAGCCATGCGAAAAGTACCGGGGGTCAAGCCCGATGAAATTACCAGAAAAGGCAATTTCTCGGATGAGGGAGGAGGAGGGCGGCCTGGCGAGGATCTCCCGGCGGATGCCGTATGCTCGAAGACCCAGCGCGGAGGTAACGCAGCCATTAGTTCGAGACTTCCGGGCCGGGCCATGATCAATGGAGGGGGCCTCACGGCTTCGCAGTCACACTATCACACATAGTACACTGACTGGCCCGGCGTGGCTTAAGTTCGTCGGGCCTCCGAGACCGCATCACCCAACACTCCACCGATTCCGAGGCACAACTCTGGCTTCGTTGGGGAGGGCCCTACTCCGGATCCGGGCTTGAGCAACTTGAGCCGGTAGAGCCTTTCCAGCCGCGACTCTTGCAGGTTGTCTCACGGTGATTGCCGATTCAGTCTGACCCCTCCATTGAGCCCGTCACAGTGGTGAGAATCGGTACCGATTGCCGTGTCTCAAGTGATGAGCCCCCCCGGAGCTTGTGGGTACCAGCTCTCCGGAACCTTTGCACCCGCAAACGCAATCTCCGAATTCGCCAAGTGAGAGGTTCTATTTTGAAGAGGCTTGACATCAGACGATGGAAACATCATGACACGTACAAAGTGTGAAGGAGTAAAACCTCGTGGGTCTACAAACTCACGAGAACGCCGAGCAAACATCGCCGTTGATGGTAAAACGGCGACGGCGAGCGGGTTTGCACAATAGCCCGGTTCAAGAAAACTTCAAAAAATCGTCGCAACACATCGTCAACGTAAGCGATCCCGAGTATGGAGGTGCAGCATTGATCCTCTCGGACGGCGTTGAGAATCCTCTCAGACGGTCTTCGAGACTCGTGGCGGCGCCATAACCTATGGTTGACTGGCAACCCTCTCAACCAAGGTGGCAGCACTTCCTTCTGGTGACGACGGTGATGATCCGTGGCCGGGATGTGGAGAGTGCGGCCCCCATGCCCGGCGGAAGACCACCGAATCCTATTGTCTCCAACACCATCGCATCCGAAAGCCCTGCGGGGCACATGGGAATCAGTGCGCATCGGCGAGCTGGATGTCGTCCGAATAGCGAGAATAGAGCGAGTACACGTACGTGGGCAAGTCCTGTAGGATGATCCTCACGGCCAGCCAGCCACGGGCCACCAGAGGAATTCGCGCCGAAGACAAAGGCGAGGGCCAGCAACTTTGACCAGGCTCATAGGGAAACCAATGATGCCTCTGCGGGTATGTACCCATGCGTACATGTGTGCGAGCAAAGGGATCCGTGGCGGTGGGACATGCCGCCTTGGCTCACGGCCGGGGCTCGGTCCGGGCGGTCTCAACGACTTCAATGTTCTATCTAATATTCCTGGGCAACTAGAACTGAGGTAGCAATAAGGGGTGGAGAGCAACGGCCGTGATAGCGCTTCGGTCGTGTGGGTTGAACCATGGTGTGGTAGAACCCAGGCGCGCCAAGGGACCGGTCAACCAAGCGCTAGTTCAGGGACGTACAATGAAGGGCAAAGATCAGCCCAAAAAAAGAATAGGGATGGACACTCTCTGGGGCCTTGTGGCGTTACGTTAACTCTGTTCGGCTCTCGCTTTTTGGTGCGGGAAGCGATGTGCAGCGTTGGGAAACTAACTAGCAGCAGCACCCGCGCTCCCAAGACCTTTGAACCGTCTCGTTTCACGGACGTCCGGAGGCGCACGTCCATGTCCGGCGGTCTCTCCACGGGCGTCCGGGCGCGCCACGAACCGCCTCAGGTGAGCCGGTTGTCTAGGAGGGGAAAGCGAGTAAATAGAAACAATGGAGTTGTAAAGGAGACGTTTGTTGAGATTGAAATGTCATATTTAAGAACCTGGAATGCCAGCCTCGATACATCTCCTTTTCGAAACAATCCAGCAGAACTCAATCACTCACTTAGCCAATCGATCAACTCCTCGGTATCTCGACGATCCAACCCTCTTGACCAACACACCATCACCACCTCTCTCTAGTCAACACCACATTAACACTATTCAAAATGCCTGGCGTTACTTCTCAGTCTACCGGTTCCAAGTACGATGCCATTCCCGGCCCCCTGGGTTTGGCCTCTGCTTCCCTCGAGGGCAAGGTCGCTCTCGTGACCGGTGCCGGTACGTGACATCCCATCATCCAATGCTTCCCTTCCTGTCTCTCCTCATGAGAAGGTCGCCCTCGGGAGAGCTGCAACCGACAACCAGCAAGCTTCCTGGGGTGCATTATCAGGGTGGTCTGTTCGTCTGATCTCGAAACTCAACTAACACAAACACTATCTAGGCCGTGGTATTGGTCGTGAGATGGCCCTTGAGCTTGGACGTCGCGGTGCCAAGGTCATCGTCAACTACGCCAACAGCGCCGAGACCGCCGAGGAGGTCGTCCAGGCCATCAAGAAGTCCGGCTCCGACGCCGCTTCCATCAAGGCCAACGTTTCCGACGTTGACCAGATCGTCTCCATGTTCGCCGAGGCCAAGAAGATCTTCGGCAAGCTCCACATTGTCTGCTCCAACTCTGGTGTCGTCTCCTTCGGCCACGTCAAGGATGTCACCCCCGAGGAGTTCGACCGCGTCTTCTCCATCAACACCCGTGGCCAGTTCTTCGTTGCCCGCGAGGCCTACAAGAACCTCGAGGTCGGCGGCCGTGTCATCCTCATGGGTTCCATCACTGGCCAGGCCAAGGGTGTCCCCAAGCACGCCGTCTACTCTGGTTCCAAGGGAACCATTGAGACCTTCGTCCGCTGCATGGCTATCGACTTCGGTGACAAGAAGATCACCGTCAACGCTGTTGCCCCCGGTGGTATCAAGACCGACATGTACCGGTAAGTGCAAACTTCAACTTAGTTGCCTCACAGATCAAGAAGCTAACCCACTATTCAGTGATGTCTGCCGCGAGTACATCCCCGGTGGCACTGAGCTCGACGACGAAGGTGTCGATGAGTACGCCGCGGGCTGGTCTCCCATGCACCGTGTCGGTCTCCCGATCGATATTGCCCGTGTCGTCTGCTTCCTGGCTTCCCAGGACGGCGAGTGGATCAACGGAAAGGTCCTCGGCATCGACGGTGCCGCCTGCATGTAAACTACCAATATCATACCTAATGTAGTAATCGGAGTAATGGGCATCGGACGGGGATACTAGATTGGATCATGTACATTTTAGATTTATGACATGGGATATAATGAATAAAGACATATGCCCCATAACAAACAAACTATCAGAGTGTCCTGCCCTCTGTGCACCTTTCTATCTTAGTATAGCATAGACTTACTAGCCTAGTTATCTCCAGTGAGCGCCTTTGACTTTTTGACACTTGTTTTCTCCCATGAGCTGAATTTGCTTTGCAATATTTAACCATACCAATAGACGACAATTTGGATAGGCTCGAGACTTTAAACCTCAAGAGTTTCCTGCGGCAGTCGTCGTAGCTAACTTTCGCAACCGCCCCACCACGGCAACAAATCGCAAGGTTCGGGCCGCTCATCCTTCTGAAACCTCCTGTACTCCGTACGAATGTTCGGCATCCTCTATACGAGCTCTGTACTCGTATTTCTGTCTGAAGTTACCGATGGATAATTGTTCTATAGCAGACTGCCTTGCGTGACCAAGAAACAAATGCCTGGACAGGCTCGAACTGTTGCTGCTTGGTAGAAACTAGACTTGCATTCTCGAAAACCATGACAAGATAGTCCGCTGCCTCGTTTCCCGGATCGAGTATCCAGGCAATGCAAGTGCTCGTTCCCCAACGGTATGTTGGACATTAGATCTCAAAGTAGAGTACGGATACTAAGTCGGATTCGCAACAGGCGAGGTTGACCAATTTTCGCAATTTCTCTATACCTAAATGCCCACATTGAGTTTGCGCGATTGACAAAAAGGTGAAGGGCATAGGCACTACCCGAAACTCTTTGAATTCCCCGGGAGAACCGGTAGCTGCGGTGAATGATCGACACGGACAAGCCCGTTAACTTCTTTCTTAGAGTTCTATGGTTGTGGTTCTACCGTCTCCATTCCCCTGACGCGTGAGTCCTAGAGTACTATATCCTAGATGAGGACTGCTAGCCGTAACCTTGAAGCTGGTAAAAAGTGTCCGTGTTGCTGGCAGTTTGACCAACAGTTCGCAGATAGAGTTTGATAAGATGGTTCGTGTGGTGGTCTAAAAAGAATGCGATCGTCGTGAGCTTGACTCGTACAGGGCAAAAACAGCCTGTTCTTGGGAAACCGAGGCGCTGCACAAGTCATGCGCTTATGAGGCGAGAGCAAGGAGGATATTACCGATAGTCATGACACCGGGTAACCATTCTGTATGAAACCCGATTCTCCCGGTCTTTGAATACTTAATACATCTAAAGGCAGCTTGATTTTGCGATTATCATTCCACCACACTCAACCTATACGCTCTTTACAACAACTAGCCAGTCTTTACCAGCCTGTAAACCCAATTCCAAAATGCACGCCGCCTCTATTCTCGTCGTTGCCCTCTCGGCCGTCGCCATGGCTGCCGACAAGCCCAAGCGCGATTGCAGACGCGACAGATCCCACCCCGGCCGCGGCTGGTACTGGATTGTCGAGGGCGACACCCTCAACGAGATCGCTGCCGACTTCGGTTCCACCGCCAACATCATCGCCGCCATGAACGGCATCCCCAACCCCGACTCCATCCCGGCCTGGAAGACCATCGTTGTCCCTTGCCCTCCTTAGATCGACCAGCCTAGATCGATGGATAGCCTGCGATACAACACCGACTCATCGCAAACGAATTTCACTACTGCCAGCAATTCAAGAACTCTGGTCGACGGCCAAGTCAAAGCTTAGGACAGCGCTCAGATAATGCATAATCAAAAAGTTCAGAGCCCATACGACCCGCTCGAGTGATTCAGTAATTCGTCTCGGTTTTGTCACAAATAGACGCATTCAGAAATAATTGAAAGCTTGAACCATTTTAGAAGGGTCTGGGTACCTTTAATAAAACAGAACTATACATCAAGGCTATGTGCTGCCTTTCCGGCGATCTATAGGCTTCATCTCGAACTCGCCTACGCTCTTTGAAATGTCTGTCTCTATGGATCCATTGTGATGTCCGGTTTGAGGTCGAGGTGTGTATTCAACGCTCACCTCAGTAGTCCATGTGATACCGCCTCTTCCACTAGCATTGCTTCCTTGCTGGCCCGAAACCAGTATGCTGCTGTCACTCGAAGCATCCTGATCTCTCGGCTCTGCTCTTGTCGCCGTCACAGTACTCCGATTATAAAATCTTCCGCTTGTATCCCCTGTCTTGACGTATGCTCCAGCTCCCGGCGAGGACTCTGTTCGTTTCCGGACTTGGCGGACGAAACCACGGAGAACTGGTATGGATGCTGAGATAATAGTGACGTTCGGTTCTGCCATAGACCATACCCAGTAGACTGCTTGGTTGTATAGATCTGGCAAAGTAATCGACGTTAGCGCATGCTAGTTTTCAAAACGATATGAACCACTTACAATCAGGAGATCTCACGTTGATCAGCATGTAGCCCTGGACAGCTTTCATAGCCCCTGTAACACCTGCTAGGATCCCCATACTTAAAGCCACGGCCACACTTATTCTCTCTGACTGTTTCATTTGTAGGTTGAAGATCATCTTCCATGGTAAAAGAGCAAGAGCAATGTCGCACATCGCCGAGTATACTGCAGTAGACAGATCAGAAACGGATACCACTGCCAGACATGGTGATGACTCACATGCACTGAAGACAGTGAAAGCTACCGACTGGTCTAATCGCCAGCACCTATCCCCTCCGATATGTCCTAGGTCTGGTGCACCGCAGATAGCCTGCCATGTTGCGATGATATGTATCGCAAATTGCAGGTTCATCGTAATGATAACGCCCCATATGAGCTTTGCTTCCCAACCCCCGGGCATCAACCGCAACAGTGTGATTCCAAACGATGTCTTCGTCAGCCCTAGAGCGACAGATTGAAGGTTATGGTGCGTTCGGGCAATAGTGATCTTCAGCAGGTTTCCTCGAATAAGAAACACAGCCATCAACCAGGACACGTTTGCTGACGCTAGAAGCAAGAAGAACCATCCTGCAACGAGCACCCAGTCGTCTGTTTGGAGCCCGATTCCGGTATTTCGAAGCCGACTGTAGACTCGGAGGGCGAGGAAGACAGTCGATAGGAAGAGCATCTAAAGATCGAGAAGTTTGTCAGAATAGGTGTTCAACTCAAAGCAAGCTACCTCGGACCCTCAGTCTAGCAAATTTGACTTACCACCCATGTGGTTGCATGGACAAGCACCGAGAGATCGCTGTTGGCCCACGCCATGACCACAGCGAGCAGATGGAGATCTGAGCAGGTCGTTTAGACCACCGAGATTCTTTTAAAGCCCATCGTGAGTCCGAAGCGGAGGTCTGTCTCAGGAAGTCTGACCCAGATTTGGACCATGGTAGGAAGTTAAGTAGGCCAGGATGCCCGTCCGCAAGCTATTGCGCAGGCTCTCTAGAGTGCATGCGGAGTTGCTTACCAAGATCTACTCCCAGGACCTCATCCTGTAGACCGAGTCATATCGTGATGTTAATCTTGGCCGGGCATTGCGGAGCTATGAGCCGACCCTTGTAGGGTCTCTTGGCAAGGTCCGCATAGAAGCCATATCAAGCAAAGTCCGAGGAGGCATCCGTAATTGTATGCGCCGTTGCGGCGCAGTTCTGTCTGCTACGGTCTTCGACCAACGACAAACTGCAGTATTCATCCGCCTCCAGGGTCCTGGGTACCATTCCGCCTTGGCAGAAATTCGTAAAGACCTGAAATCATCCCGCTGCATACAAGCGACATTGCGTTTCATAATCGCTAAAGAGCCAATCGAGGATTTCTACGCTGTGCCGCATGTACGCCCCGAATAAAGATACCATTGACCAAAGAACTGAAGATGCGAGACCGAGCTGTTCCAGGGACTGGTGGATGATGAGTTGAGCTTATCCGGAACGATGGTCCAAAGACCTATTTTGTGATATCCTCCGTGCCGCGTATTGGTCCCGATGTCTGACTGGTGGCTTCGGTGGCTTCGATGCCAACGGCCTGCGGTGTTTCTGCACATACATATCGCAAAGCGGATTTCAGGCCTGGAGAATGGAGAGATTACTGACGAAGTAAGGCGGATGCATCCCTAACTGTTATTGGGCATGCTTCAAGTAAATAAAGACTCGCGGCCCGGCGTTCTTACCACAGAGAAGGCCGTAGTATTAGCACCAGACCACACTCTCCCTCACTTTCTTTGGGTGTTTTTCACCCGAGACATTCATTTGTCCCCCATGGTTCTCAAGAAGTATCTTGGCATAGCTGCCTTACTGGGCCTCTTCGACCAGGCCTTAGCTCAGCTAAACACCACATCATCTGGGTTCAAAGCTGTAAGTTCTCTTATTGACGGGGCATCTCTGCTCTCGGTTGCAACGGATCTGCAGCGCCTTGCTTTTGCATGTCGGACACTGATTGAACTTGAAAGTGCGATGCCCTCTTTGATGCCGGGCTTGGGGATATTCTCGTCTTTCCGACCGACATCGCCTACACTGAGAGTACCTCGACATACTATTCGTCAGAGAATCGTCGACTTCGACCCTACTGTATCGTTCAGCCGCGCTCGACCGAGCATGTTTCCTCCACCATCAAGGCTCTGGGTGGCGTGAGCGGTGCCGGGAACTGGGACGTAGCTATTCGCTCTGGTGGTCATAGTGATTACGACAACAACGCTGCTCACCGAGGTGTCACTATCGATCTCACATTTTTCAACTCTACTGAGCTTGTCAAGAGCAGGTGTTTCAATGGTACTGCTGATTGGATAGGCCGAAGCGTCCTGACCAAGGTAAGTAAGATTCTGTCATGATTTTGTAGAATGACGAGCTAATACCGGGAAGAATATCGCACAGATCCGCCCTGCTGCCCGTTGGGGAAATGTCATGACCTACCTCGAGCCATACAATTTAGGAGTTACAGGTGGACGATCTGGCCACGTCGGCGTTGGTGGCCTGCTCGTGTCTGGCGGCGCTTCCTACCACACGCAGCTTTATGGCTTTTCATGCGACAATGTAGTCGGCTATGAGGTCGTCCTCGCCGATGGATCGATAATCGAGGCTAATACAGAGGAGAACGCAGATCTCTTCAAGGCTTTGAAGGGAGGCGGAAGCAACTTGGGTATTGTCACTCGTTTCGACCTCAGAACCTTCACCGTACCCCCTACTGGCGCCTATGGTGGCCTACTCTTTGCGTCCTGGAGCGACTTGAATGTCGTGATTGACCAGTTTGTCAGCTATGCCAGCTCAATCGGTTCCGGCAGTCCCGACCACGAATTTGTCGTCTATCGGTCCGACGCCGGCAACCTGGCTGTGATGGCCATGGCAGTCAGCACTGATGGCAACGAGAACTCGACGACATTTGCCCCTTTCAATGACATTACTCTGACAAGGGACGTGAGATCTAAGCAACCTCTCAGTAAGATTGCGGCGACCATTGCCGATACCGGTGGATCGCATTACATCCCTTTCTCTCTGTCCCTTCAAGCCACTGCGGAAATTATGAACAAAGCTGCCGAAATCTTCGTGGCTTTGACACAAGTGTTCGATGCCACCAGTGTTCCAGTTTCCGTCAATTTTGTTTTCCAACCCCTCCCGAAGAACCTCGCCGCCGTCACGCCCGGTAACAACATACTAGGCTTCGACGAGAACCTACCCTCGGACTCAATTCTCTTTGAGGCTAGAGGCACCCTAGCAGCTACTGATGCAGAGTATGGAGGCGTTGTTGAGAGTATGATGGGTAGGGCTATCGAGGAACTCAGAGCATACTCAGCTTCATTTGAAGGCCACTCGACCTTTCTATACATGAACTATGCCAACCCAGAACAAGACGTCATTGGATCGTATGGTGCAGAGAATGTACAATTTTTGAAGGATGCGGCTGCGAAGTACGACCCGAATGGCTTTTTTCAGTATCGGGTTTCCGGGGGGTGGAAGGTCAGCCGGATATGAGCATCCGTCGACGAGGGGTTTATGCGGGGGTCTCGTTTCTTAGCTACTCTTGAATTAATGGGCGGAGTGAATGTAATCTGAGATTATGTCTCAAACTCGCACGCCTCGAAGAATACCCTTGCTCTTGTGTGAAGTGAATGTTGTCTTCAATGTATAAATGATGATGGTGAAGGAATAGTTCCCTCCTTTTGTGCGTGCAGCCAATCTTTTGCTGAAACATCGAATTTCACATGATTCTTACGTTGCAGATGCTCTCCACACATATGAAGGTCCTGGCCGCCTGAATACATGTAGCAATTCTCTCAATCTTGTGGTTGGCCTTTACATGACCAGACAAACCATTGTTCTCGCTGTGATATAATGGAAGATGAGAGACACAGTGTATAAAGGCACCTAGAACAGAATAAACGGCGTCTATTCGATGCCGGAACCCTTACTGATTCCCGAGAGCAGACCCCCTGACAGGAATACCTTTCAGTGTTCTGATTCCAGAAGAGAGTATGGCCGTGTACAACTGGCGGCCGTAGTTCCGACTGCAGTATTGATGTCGACCGATACAAGCACTGTTCGGACTCACGTTACTATGACTGACGAGCCCCAACTGGAAGTAAAGGCGACCGACGTACCCGAGAACGCTGCTGGTGTCGAGGAGAATTGTTGATGCCCAGCTTGCGTTGGCGGTTTATCCCTTAAGGTACTTGCTGAAAATGACACTACAGGCGCGAGGGGCGTGAGCAATCCACACTCCATGAAAATATTCCCTGGCCATAAAACAAGAATTCATGTCCTTTAGCAAGTAAGAGTCTGTCCAAATAGTAGAGAAAGCTTTGCTGCGAGACAAACGCATTCATAGACATATCTTGGTCGAGATTGCAAGTACAAGGTAGGTATGATAACGCCAGGAGGCGCACGCTTCTTGCAGTGCGGCTTCCAAAACAAGGAGTCAAGCAATGCCCCCACTTGAGCCGCCAGTTGTGACAATTACCAGAGTTACCTTAGAGCCCGTCTCTTGTTAAATCAAAGCACAATGTGAGCAAACGTAGGGGGCATTCATCAAAGACGCGCAAGGACCAGCAAGGACCTAGGAGGTTAAAATCGTCCTCATTATTAGTAGGCTGTTTTTAATTTCGTCAGTGTCTTTGTCTGCTTGAGGCGGGCAGTGCGTTGTAATCTACTGTCACAGAAAGGAAAGACGGCAAAACTGCCGGCCATGATGATGCTGCCAACAGCAGTTTAAACGCGATGCCCATGTTTGTTACATGCAACTCTGATTCCTACTGAGATGCAAACCAGGTAGGTAATAACCAGGTAAATGCAGAAGGCCAAGCCAAGCTGAGAAGGCGTGTACCCTCGAAGGTGTTGCTAGGAGTTGCTAGGAGGAGTAGGACTAAAAGAACTACGGCTATGTGTTGCAGACCGATAAATAAAACCATTGCGCAGAATACCGCAAACACCACGCCGCTTCCTTCAACACCGCCCTCCAGGCATCTTGATTCCTCGCTGTTTTGACTCCTGTGTTGGTAATAGATATCGTCGGCTTGGTGTTGCTTTTGGCACCGGCACCTTGACGGCGTGCGACATTACTACCATTCGTATTCTCGTCGCACGTCGCAGTTCGGCGAGGGATGCTAGAACTTTCGAAAGAACGCCCAGGAACATGATCTACGAGTAAGGGATCAAAGACGTTGGGGTCTAAGGAACTTATTTCCCGCCCGCTGCCGCGCAGATCCACATCAAAGTATCATGGCTCGCGCCGTATTTCCCCGCACTTTTCCCTATTAGGAACATGTTCCAACTTCCGAGCCCATCGAGGTGCATTCGCCATCATTTCTCCAATAGTGATCCTGGGCAGAACCTAGTCGATTCTTGCATAACACGCAGCTTTCTGCCATTCCGTGGTTGATCTCTAAGGCTAGCCAGGCAAGCTCAAGATTATGCTTTCCTCTACTCTGTAAAGAAAAGACTGGATTTGAAAGCAACAAGAGGCTAGCGACCAAGTCGTGAAGAGCACTATAAAACTATCAGTTCCAACTCAAGCTACTTAGTATTTCTCATTACAATCAGCTCAGTTAAAAGTTGTCCGCTTCACCCTAACAATTTGATCATCTACGAATAGCATCGAATTATAGATCACCATGGCTATTATTGCTGTTGCAGGCGGCACGGGGGCGGTAGGCAAGACTATCGTCGAGGGCATCGTTGCTCACGGCGGCCACAAAGTCTTCGTTCTCTCAAGAACGGTCAGTGTTTACGGGATCATCTATTCCGTATCATCACGGTATTTACTGACACTCGATTGTACAGAGCCGAGAACCAAAGGATGGGGTACAATTTCTCGCTGTTGATTATCAGGACGTGGAAGGAATCAGCAAGATCTTGCAAGAGAACCAAATTGGCACCGTCATTTCCGCTATGGGTGTTGTCACGCCGCAGACCAACCAGGCTCAAATTAACCTGGTCAAAGCATCGAACACGTCCAGCTCGACGCGCCGCTTCATCGTCAGTGCCTATGACATGCTACACACCAGGGAGTATGGCCATGCCTCTCTGTCAACCTAATGACATGTAGATGCTAACAATGACCTAGCCAAATTTCGCATTATCCTCTCGCTCAATACGCTTTTGAGGCAATTGAAGAGCTCGATAAGACAAATATCGAGTATACTCGAGTTGTGAACGGCTTCTTCTTGGATTATTTTGGCATGCCACACTACAAGACGCATCTCCACCCATGGGTCAACTTCGTCAACTTGGAGAAGAAGTGGGCTGTCATTCCTGGTGACGGCTCAGCCAGGGCCAATTTTATCACAACGCAGGATATGGCGAAGTACATTGCTCGCCTGGTAGGTCTTGACAAGTGGTCCAAAGTGAGCAGCATTGTAGCCCAGAACCACTCGATATCTGAGATACTCGAATTGGCAGAGAAGACACGAGGTGAGGTGTTGAGGTCTGCCTGATTCCCGAATTCGTACTGACAGAAACTTGCACACAGGTCCCGGATTCAGGGTTGCTTATGATGACTTGGAGAAGCTCAAGTCAGGGAAGATTTCCTTCATTAAGGACTTCCCTGATTTCGAGCTCAGTCGCGAAGAGTCGGAGGCCCTGTTTGCAAAGGTTCACTACTATGCTGGCATCGGGAAGTTTCTTGTTCCTACCGAAGACACTTTGAACTCTAAGTTCCCGGACATTGTTCCGACAACGGCTGCTCAAGTCTTTGATGAGTCATGGAAAGGTAAATGAGACAGTGGCGTGCAGTGAGTGGTGAAGCTTGGTGTCAGTAATCGAGGGAGAGGGCAAGTTGTCTAGTTTGTTGAGCAGTTCTCCCCTGAAATCAATTGATATATACGTTTCGCCCGACCTTCAGTAGGGTACGCATCAACTTGATCAACTCTTTTCCACCAGTCCTGGCATATTGCCCACGTTGTTCTCACACAACCTCCTGTATTCTCTTGCAGACCTCCATCGCATACTGAGCTCATCCAAGAAAGTTGTTAAACTCAGTACATCAGATTGGCTACTGTCTCCATCCTCTGAGAGCCGGTGGAGGTTGGAGGATGCATTATACACCCCATCAAGTATGAACGGCGATATGATACCTAAATTTCCGATAGGATCATTACCGTCGAATAACTGGTTGTAGAGTGCTTTCGAAATGTTTCGTATGTCCAGACTCGCCTGCCAGACAAGTCTTGCTGAGCATTTCTCTATCTTCTCCATTTCACGACTCTCTGATTTGTCACCGTGATGGGGCTTCAGTAGGTATGTGCCGTCTGGGGTAACCTTTGCCCGCAAGGTGAGCTTTTTGACGCAGAGGAACAGAGCCGAGCGAGCGGCGAAGCGAGGTCCGATCAGTCGAAGAGTGAGGTCGGTGCCGGTCAAAGATTTTGACTCCTGGTCGACAGTATCGATCCAACTCAGAATTTTCCTTGAATGGCTGATGATATCGTCAATATGAACCTGATCGAGTGTGCCCTCAATGCGAGATAGTATAAGTGCGCTGTCAATCAGGAGGGCGGCTTCGCAGAGTCGTGAGAACCCTGAGTGTTCTGCAGAGACTACTGGCTGCCAGTCGTACTCATGGTCCCCGACTACATCATAGTCGAGGGATTCCTGTTTCGAATTGATCATGAGCAAACGAAATACAGCACTATTCATGGCCAAGTGCTCGTAAACAAGTACTAACCCAACTGTCGTCATGCATCGGGAGTTTAATGTGTTCCTGAGCTCTTGATATTGCACATGGACTCTTGCTTCCGACAGACATAAGTCTATCAAGGATAAAGACGGCCCACCATGATCTCCTTCTTTCTTCCTCGTCCGTTTCGAACCATTGTATCTGTCCAGTTAATGCCAGTTTCACCATGAATAAACGCTGTGAGACCGTCAAAGAATCCGAAGTACTTACAGGCTTTCTCAGCGCAACGGTGTCTACTGACCCATGGAAAACTGTTTCTCTTGTTGCCCAGGATACGCCCACAAGCTCAATGTACCGAGTGCATAATCCAATACTCATCCAGGCAGCAGGGTAGACCGCGTGGCAATATTCGTAAAGTGCGACAAGGATCATTGCCTGAAGAACTGGCAGGGACACAACCCCTCTAGCTACGAGCGTGTCCAAAAGTCCTTTGGTCTGTTTATACAAGTAGCTGCAAGTGTTGTCGTCGGGGTCGGATGTCATGAGTCTCATTGCCAGAGCAAGCGCGACTATATCCGGCTCACAATTTTCAGAGAATGGAGCTGCCAATCGCTTCTTGGCGGATATGAACCGAAACCAGATGTGAATGGTCTTGAAATACTCGTCGCAGGAGTTTTTGACCTTGTCGCTTTCATTGACGAGCGATAGGATAGCCTTTCAGTTATCCATGATATTAGATATTCAACCATGTGTGAACTAAGCTGTGAGCCTTACCTCAGGTATTGAGAAATTTGGTCGGTACAGTTCTTCAAGCAACGCCTCAGTATGGAATCGATCGCCGTCGAGAAAAGCCGAAGCTGGAAAGGCACCCTTGATATGTACAGGTAGGGATTGTGTCTCCCTACGCAGGGCGCGTAGCGGAGGTCGACTATTCTGATCATCAATGATATGCATTTCATCCGATGGCGTCAGCATAAGCACTTCGTCCTGTTCGTTGGGAATATGGCAACGGTTGAAAAATTGTTTCTCAATCGCATCTACTCGAGCTTGTAGAGCGGCGAAGTCCACTGCACTAGGTGGGCGATCGGACTCATGTTGTGAGCCATGAAGTCGACGAAGTTGATGGGGGCGATCATCGCTAGGAACCTCATCGTCGCGCCGCCTTTTGTCGCCCGTTCTGACTATTGTCTTGCTCTCGAGCGGCATAGCGAAATGACTACAAGATGTAGTGCAATTGACGTCGCGCTGATGTAGTTGCTCCGGAGAAAGGGAGGAACTACAGGGTAAATAACCGGCACTCCGTGGCTGTGGCGTCAAAGGGAACAGGCGATTGCGCACCAGCCACGGCCGACCTAGGGTGTCTCGAGAACTGTGGCTTGACAATATCGGACTCAAAGTGTGTTCGCATTGAGTTCTTTTCCTCTCTCCTTTCCTCCGTCTTAGAAATTCTCAAAAATCCGATAAGATTCTTCCGAAAATACTTGGACACGGACAAATCATAAAGGTGAAGAGGACTTTAGGTAAGTAGGGAAAAAAGGGGTCGTAAATTGCCTGATTAGGATAAAAGGTGAAGCACTTGATTGCGGCTCTCCATCGTGTGGATCAATAAAAGTGAACACGTTTTGGCTAGACACAAGCAAAGGTGAAGTTCATCACAAACACAAAGAAAATCACGACACTGGCTAGCTATTTCGCTCATCTGCATTTCCCCTTGAAAAGTCTCATGAAAGCTAGCTCCTTACTTGTCCGGGTCAACTTCTTTTCTTCCTCTCGTACAAACAAGACATCAATCCTACCAAAAGTCCATCACTATACACAAGCAAGAGTTTCCGCATTACACACGCAACTTTCGCATTACAAGCCACCTTTACCGTCATTGTCACAGTTAACAACCAGTTCAACGTGAAGTAGGTAAGGCGCAAAACACATGGAGAACTTCGTTCTTGTATGCTGATTATGTCACCCAGTTACTCCTAAACTCCCTCCATAATGTGTCAAAACATGTATTACACGTTCGATTGCGGCCATCGTATCGGACACATTGCCGTTCTTCGCTGCGACAAATGTGTCATATCTGGTTTCGACTGCTAGTATCGCGAGACCTGTGAGGATGAGAAGCTACCTGGTGGAGCGGGCTTATGTCGCGACTGTAGTCTAGCTCCTCCCGTCGAGAGCGCGCCTGCGCGAAGCGAAGGCGAAATATCTAAAGGATTCTGGAAGAAGACAGGGCAGATGCTCGCTGCTACGGTTGAAGCGATCAGGCCCTCGAGGAAGTAAGAGTTGTTTGATAGTTGCGAC